GAAGTGTTTTACAGTGCTGTTAGAATTCTTTAAATCGTGAGATCTGTCTCCTGGCTTGTCATACCCCTTGGGAAATTCATGACTGTAGGCTGAGAATGACTGTGGTAAACACGCAGTGCAGCTGAAGTTCTCCTTTTCTCTTTCATCTGGGGGAGGTGAGGGGAGGGAGGGAAGTGGTGGAGGGGAAAAGCATCCCGCTCCTGTGAGAGGTCTGTGGTATCAGCAAACTGTATGCCACGAGTCAGGATTTGTCGAGAGTGGGTTTTGTTATCTTCCGTAGCTTTTCTAACAGGACTTCAAGAAATGATTTTAGGTGATGCCGTTGACTTCTTAACAAAGTGCAGTTCTGTTCATTTGTTTTCTTTTTCTGGTAGTATCAGTGCAGTGTTTTTGTAGTGTTAAAAGAAGCCTGCGCATACACCCTTGTGATAAGCCTCCAGTAATATACACAGTTTGTCATGTTAGGTGCAGCTGTAACTTCTCATCAGAGTCTTCATGGCCTGAACTATTGGAAAAAGCTGATAATATTTCTCTTCTATAAACGGGTGTCAAAATACTTTAATGCTTGAAAGACCAAACCTCTTCAGTAGCTCTCTAGCTTAAATTTACAATCTTTGGAGGGAGGGAGGTGGAGGTTGGTGATGCTTTTGGGAGGAGGGTTGGATGTAATAAGATCTGGAGAATCCTCAAATTATTTGAAGTCCTATCTAGAATGTGAGGAAAATTCTTAACTAAATTATAAATAGTACTTTTTCTTTTTTTGATTAGTCTAGAAGGATGGTATAACGACTTCCTGAAATTACATCGGTACTTAATATAACATGTGATAGCTTGAAGCTTTACAATAATCTGTTATGGGGCGTGAGGGAATCTGAAATGCAGCTACATAAATTCAGTTTAAGTAGTGAGGGACTCTGAGTTAACTGTGCCTGTTAAAACAAGGAGCTAGGAGATTAATTTGCTAAGCTAGTTGCTTTTTCTTTCTCTTTGTATAATTGTTTGGTTTTTTTTGAACTGTGGAAGAGACAAAATGTATCCAAGAAGTACATATTTACAGATACTAACTGAAATATTGAAATAATGCCTTCAGCTTCCAATACACAAAATAGTTTTAGTATATATTTTAAGTTTCTCTGAAGTACCTATTCAGAACCTGAGTTGGTAACTGTTTCATCTCTTGCTGAAAGTGATCCTATATGTCACTTTTGCGTATTTTCATTTCATGGTTCAAGCCATGGCTTAACATTGTGTTTCTGCACCCTGGAAGGAAATACTGTGTCATTGGGGCCAGGGTGTGATAACACGGCCTTCATTGAAAAGACAGTATTGACTGCAAGAGATACAAGTTTTACTCCCTGTAAGAACCTCATCTGGCAATTCCTTGATTTACTCTGTCGTAGTAGTTTGGCAGGTGTTGGATTCATGAGCAAGAGTTCTGGATATCTGTGTTACAGTTCGTGTTTTAGCTTTTGTGCAAGATTAATGTTCTTGACATTGGCAGGAATACAGCATTGAAAACTTCTGCTGTTGAGGACTAGCTGTCAGAAGATGACCTATTAATAGTACAATAGCAGTTTGTACTTCTTATTTTGTCCTTTCAATTCTCTTTCCCTCATGCTAAAATGGGTATTCACTTAGTCTCTAGCACATTGCTGTTACTGGAAGTTTCCTTCCCAGTCTGTGATTGGGGAAAAATGTGGTTGCTTTTGGTGCTTTTTCTGATTTTTAAACTTAAATGTAACCTTTTCTGTGAGCTGTGTGTTTGTGATACTCAGTCTTGTCCTGCGGTCTCAAACTTGCTTGATTCACATGCAGCAATTCGCATAGGTGGAGAAAAGCACAAAGGGAATGTTGCTCTTGAATCTTCCATTCTTTATTGAGTCTGACTCTGTGTTCCTCAGAGATTCGAGCTTGGTTTTCTTGTTTCTGAAACACTCAATAGAATTAAGCTAAACCAATTGGAAGATTTCTTCCCTTTGGATGATTTGAGTAATGGAAGTAATGTGCTTAAGACTGAATCCAAGATGCTTAGAAAATGGGTTGTTAATTCTGAAATCAGGTGTGAGATAGCGATGAGGAACTTTGTCCTTGGAGCAAGGTGCAAGTTGTTTTTGGCTTATCCCCCTCTAAAAGATGCACACAAAAAATGTCTTATGCCCAAACCCACGAATCGAATGAAATCTTATCTCTGCTGAATGGTTGTAAGAAAAACAACTCTTTTTCTCTGTCCTATAATTTTGGAGATGCTTGTGTCACATAGCAGTGCTAGTCCGTACTGTGGCTTACTTGAAATGCTTACATTAAATTGTTAAACAACTATCATCTTAAGATAACCCTTCTGAAGTAAATAACAATTACAAAAAAAGTTAACAATTACAAAAAGCAGTTGACTGCTTTTGATTTTATAATTTGATCACTCAGTTTCCACGTACATCGCGTGTCTTCTGCTGCATAGCTGTTCTTGAAGGTACGTGATTCAGTGATGTTCAGGGCTGTGTAGGCTGCTTAAGAACCACCAAGGGGAAACACCGATGTACACCCAGTCAGGTGGTCTGCTCACCTCCTTCGTCTCCTACCAAAAGCGAGACAAGTATTCATGGGGGTTAATTTGCATAGATTTGCTCTACACCTGAGATGTCTTGGTGAACACTAAGAACAAAACAAATGCTGTTTATACTTGATATGTGCTAACATAGGAAGCTTGCATTTAGTTGTTCTCCTGAAGCAAAATTTTTAACTTTTTCAAATGCAATGACAAAGTCTTGTAATTGACTGTATTTCTGTGAAATGTGAAAAAGGTTTCAAAATGAAAACTCCTTTCATTGCTCATGAAAACAAATAATTGAGTAATTGTCAAGCCTTTAGCTTTTGGTTCACTTTGGATTTTTCTCTGATGTGGAGTAAGAAATTACCAGTTTTTAAGAGCCAGATTTATTAGGAGCCAGAAGATCTTGTAATCTCCTTTACATGCTGCTAGTCAGGGGTTGCTCATTCAGCTAACTTCCTGAAGCTGAAGACAATTCAGATAAATCGGAGATATTTTAGAATTGTAAAATTCCTACAGGCTTCAGGGAGAACATTCACTCATTGCTATTGGGGGGGTTCAGTTGTTTCTGTAGCATCAGTTGCAAATTAATGCATGGCATATTAAGGAAAACCACAACTGCCACAGAAGTATTTTAGTATGCCTGACTTTGAAGGGATTCATGTCTGAGACTGCTTCTGCCTGTTGAGCTGTCTAGGCTACCGATGAGGGCTTCCAAGCAAGGCTGGGTGCATAGCCATGAGCAGAAATAACTGCAGCATTACTGAGGGAGCAATGCTGTTACGGATCTTAAACTCTGAGGCATTCTAACCATACAAATACTGTGTCAGAAAACAGACCATTAAAGAGGAGGAATGCTGCTGTAGACATTTATATGGAGAGCCTGTGTTAGCGTGTGGCATTAACGATAGAGAGCAATATAGGCTGAGTAATGGAGACTTTCTGTAACTTCTCAAACTTATTTCCTAGTTACGTCCAACTAAATTTTTCTTTAGTTATAGCTCATTGGAGATCTATCTTTGCATTGAGAATGAGAGGACTTCTTGGTATTAGCCATTACTTATTTGTAAAGGAAATCTGTTGTTGATTTGATGGGCGCAGCTTTGTTGGTCGCTAAGAGTATTCCTTAAACTGTATAAAGTTTCTTCAGACCTGACATTGAAAGCTAAGTAAGACTTTAATGGTGCTGTGCATACGCATATGTACTATTTTTAAGAACTTCTGGATATCAGGTATGGATTAAACAAACTTTAACGTGTCACTTTTTGTCTATATGCATACAGTGAGCTGTGATGCAGTGTTGAAGGTTTGCTTTTATGCTTCTTGCAGCCATGCTGCAATGGAAGGTGATATCCTCAGCTTAATTTAGAAAGTAGTTTTGAGGTACAGTGTAAGATGTTTCACAGACTACCCTGGAGACTCTATCATAGTGTCCATAACAGATTGAAAAGCTTTTACTTTATAAAGAAGATGGGCTGTAACTGACTTCTTTCCTCTTTTCCATTTTAGTTGTTATCTGGTTTAGTGTTGAGGCTGCTGGGGAAACACTCTTGAAGTAGGGAAAGATCTAATTAAAAAACATGTTTAAAGGATGTCTGGTCAATTCCCTTTTAGAAAGTTTTTGCTTCCTTAAGTGAACAAAGAGAAATATTATAAGGGCTTTTCAAGAGTTGGAGACTTTTTGGAGTGGGGAAAGAAGAAAAAGGAGGGAAAACAATAGGAAGGAAAAGAAGCAAAAGCCTCTTCATCTGTGTCAAGTGCTCATCTTGAATATAATTTGAGAGATTATCTTTTAAGTTTTCAGTTTAAATGCTACTCTGATTTTTTTTTTCAGCCTTCTTCCGAATAGTCTTCAAAAAGACTGTTTACTTTGTATTTGTCATGTTTTAAGAATTACAGTGAAGATGCAAGTCCCTGCTCTGAGCTGTGTTTTGCAGGACAAATGGATGTCCCCAGACTGAAAAGCAATAATATCCTCTGAAGACAAGTCTTTTTTCAAATAGGGGTGTTAGAATTGGGCTAAACTCAATATTTCTGTCTATATATTTTCCTTGTAGTTTCACTTGGATATAATATTTTAATTTTACGTACAAAATATCAAAATATTAAGTATATTATGGGAATACAGTAAACAATTACAATATTTTAATTTGAAATGCTGAACAAAGTTACTGCTCAGCACTTCTCTCTCAAGGTGGCTGTATTTCAGTGGTGGGTGAAACAACTGCTTCAGCTGCTCTCATTGCAAAGATTGCCATGTAAATATACTGCTTTACGTAGATTTCAAGTTGTTACACTTATCTGAAAAGACAAAGTGTGCCAAATCTGAATAGGTTTGGTTATGCTTGCTTAAGTTCTTCTAAAGGTTTTCCCTGTCAAACTGACATTTTTAATATCATCTTTAAAAATCACAAAATAGAGGAAAAAAAATCTCTTACTGTCTCTTTCTTTTTAGAGAGGATCTGACGAACTTCTTTCAGGCAGTGTACTCAATAGCCCGAACTCTAACATGAGCAGCATGGTAGTTACTGGTAAGTGATGCCCTTTCAAAGGAGAAATCTATCATTTATACTTGGACTCATTTCCTATTTACAAGGGGAGAACACTGAAACAAGATTCCATTGTGCTATAGAGGGATAAACTGTTGGCATGCATCACACTGTAGTGACCTTGTACTCACAAACCTCAGGTATCTGAGAATAATAATCCTGTAAAACAAAAAGCAACTTCCAGATGTCTGTACAGCAAATTGTTGGTGGGTAACAGGATGAAAAATTACACCTGTCTTGTACTGCTGCCTTCAAAGTAAGGAATAAGAGCTACCAACTAAAGGTAAACAGCTAACAACTCCTCTGTGACATCTGCTTTTTCACACATGGCCATCTGTGAGTCAGAGTATTACGGAGAAGAATGCTGCCCCATAATCCGTAATAGAGTATGGCTTCAGGGAACCAGAACATGGTCTGGTCCCATGTAGACTGCTAAAGCAGTAAACTTCACTTTGCTACTGCAGTCTGAGATGACAGCGTTACAATCTCAGAACGTCAGTGCAAAGTGAGTGTAGATATTTTTTAGTCACGTTTATGGTGTTAGTAGATAGAATTATTTCGTGAATTGGCACATAATAAAATATCTTTCATTGCAGTATGTGCTCTTGAGTGTTGAACTTGCACTGAGTTCTATCAGAGGGGCTCACCACAGAGTTGTGCTTTTTCTCTCCTTTCTCTTTTTCCCCAAGAACACGTGTATTTTTCACTTTCCTCAGAGATGTAGACGAAATAGTTCCTGGTATCAGTGTTGGTGGGCCTCCCAAATAGTTGCCTGATTCACTGTTCTAATGTGCCTGATATATTCCCCCCGCTTACATTGTGTTGAGTAGTCCAGCTACTCATATTAGTAGCAGATCTTTTCCTTTCCTTTTAATCTAGCAGTAGAAGACCAAGCTTCACGATGCAGTTTCGTTTTACACTTGCTGTGCTGTGATGGCAGCCATTGCCAGAGCGGGCAGTTCTGTGCTTTTTCTTCCTATATCCCTAGCACAAGCAGGAAAAAACGCACAACTGGTCATGTTTCTGCTCAACACAATATTGGGGTATTCATACACTGCAAGGTGAGCTAACACAGCACTGAACTGTGCCATGGAGAAGGGCAGCTTTCCAGCATCCGGCCTAGGCATGCAGCTGTGCAGTCGCAGGGTGGGGCGGCAGAAGAGAGTAGTACTATCTCTGTTGACTGCTACCTAACTAGAGATGAGACTTTAGCATAGATCAGAAATAAGTGTAGTGTACTTGTAGCCATTTTAGAACCCCTGGAACAATCATTTATCTCTCTCCACTTTTCTTGCTTTCTTCTGGTTCTGAAAGAGATGCATCTTTTCATTTTCTTGGTGTCCTATGCAGTCCAAGATAGTACTGCTTCAGCAGTATACTTTCCTTTTAGTTGTAGTTTCTCATTTAAGTAGTTTGAGTTGGGGGGGAGGCTGGGCATTGAGCTTTGGACAGGGTGTCACTGTTACCAGGACAAACCAGTTTTTCCTGAGCGTTTTGGAATTTTCCATATATTTTCAGAGAAAATCTTACTTCAGGAAAACTAAGTGGAAGTTACTTTATCAAAGAGAAAAAGCTAAAAGGGGAGGAAAAAAAACACTATTATAGGCTTGAGTTCTCAGAAGAAAAGTTACAGAAGCTTTTCTAAGAAGTCTTGAAACTTTTTGAGAAAAATGAGATTTCTGTTTAAAGCTCTTCAAATAGAAGAGTCCATTATGTATACTGAGGAGCTCCTATTTAACACATGCAAATTCTTCCACCACCAACCACTAAAGATTTGGGAGGCAGTTTTCAGATGAATTGATCCTTATGTTTTTTTTTTTTTTATACAAGGGAGACCTCTTCATACGTTTGTAGGCATCCAGAACTGTACATGGTTTCAGAGGAAAGATCTTGTTAACAAACAGCAGTGGCCTGAGATATGATCCTGTAGTATCAGGGTGGTTGCCTGTTGCAGTTTTCATATTGTGTAATATATAAAGGAGGTTGGTGTGGAAAAATAACGCCAAACAAACAAAATACCCAAGTCTGAATGCCATTTCCTACAGATGTCAGTGGGAAGGGGTTAGTTTCATTTGAGGCTTTTTGTTTGTTTTGTTTTTAAGCAGTTTATTGGGATTGTGTTCAAATTTCTCTACTGCCTGCCTGTCTTTAAATGGAATTTGAAACCTGTAGAGTAGGCTAATTCAACAGTGCAGTTCTAAATTCGGTTCTGAATATATGAGCATGTATCTGTCTTGTTTATCAGAAGCCTGGAAGTACTTTTTCAAACTTTCACAGGTTTCCTTTACAATTTTGAACTGTAGATGCAGAAGTAATTAGGCCTGAAATGGAAACTGGTATATTAATTTTTCTGTACCTGTCTCCTGAAGCCAAATAAGTTGATGTATTTTTTGTTCAAATTAATGTCCTCCTTTTGCTTAAGTGCTGCTTTTGTTTCAGTGCTGTTAGATTTTTTTTTTTCCTGTAGAAGAATTTTAAAACTCCTAAGAAGAGGGTTTTTAGCTGTAGCTCAGCCCTTGTAGATTTTCTAGGGTCTGTTCAGAGAATCTGTAGTCGTTGATTCCTTTATGAAGAGCTTAATCATTTTGTGAAAACTGGCCTATTCTGTACCGTTTAAAACTACTTTCTGTTCTTGGAGTTTGGTGTCACAATTTTATCAGACCTGGCCATTGTTTAATACATAGAAAACTAAACTGGTTTTGTCCTTGATATTTTCAACATATGATCCCATTATAATTTCTGAACAGATACCTAGGTGAACAGAAAAATGAGGCAATTTGTCTGTATAATATTCTGAGCCATAATGGAAAAGTACGCAATCCAAAAAACACATTTGCCACCAGCAGTGCCCTAGTGGGCCTAAACTTAGAAAAAAACTTGATTCCCTCATTTTTTTCAAGTCTGTGCTATAGAAATATCTTTAAAAAAAATAAATTGCCTGAGGAAGTTTGTTTTAAAAATTCTTTTTTTTTTTTTTTAAAAAAAAAAAAGACCTCTTCATGCAAGTTGATGTTTTCCATAGAAATGTGGGCTGTGTGTGTCTTTAAGGATTTTGTCTTTAGGGGTAAGGTTAAACCTGAAGTTTTTAAAATGATCATCTTACCTTTTTAACATAGTAACTGTTCCATGAGGGTAGTGTATTTTGCTTATTTCTGTTTTTGGTATTCAACTCTTTCAGGTAGTTTAATGCTTTTAAGAACACTCTTGTGCTAGTTCTTTTTTAAAGGCACGAAAGTTGCATACTTTCTTTCTCCTTTGGAGAGCTTTAGATATGAATCTGTCCCCAGTTTCTTGTCAAAGAAATGTGCAAAAATTTTGGACAAACATTTGATTTGCATTCTTACTGATTATTCACACCACTGGTAGTTTGATAAAAATACAGAATTAAGCAAAATGTCATCATGTTGGACTTCTTTAAAAGAAATTGATCAAAATACAAGGTTTGTTCCTTGAACGATTTCTAAACGGCTTTATCAGCAGTATCCATCTTCCAAGACTTTATAGGTATAAGAAAATTGGCAGTATGCTACATTAAAGTTTAGTACAAGTCAGGTTACTATCTTAAGTACTTCCTGTATCTTTAGTAAAAGAACTGCCTTAAAAGAAATTTAGACCTGGATATTTGAGGATGACTGTTGTTTTCTTACCCTTACTTTTGAACCCTTGCATCTCCTGTTATTGCTGTTTTTATCCTTAAGGAATTTCATTTAAGTTAAACATGTCTATTAATTACACAAGACTTAAACTACTTCTGCTAAAACATTTAATGAGCAATAAGAAAGAAAATTCTTTAAACATTTTATGGTAGAATCCCATAGATCTCCTGGTAGATCTCCTAGATCATAATTTGTTGCAAGGAAAGATTTATGCAAGGTTTTGGGTCAGCAGATACCTAAGGTTTTTTTCCTCTAGCATGAGGTGACGTAGTCTTGAAGGTGTGTTGTCAGAACCACAGGCCTTGCGCTACTCTAAGCATTTTCCTTTATCTTTTCTGAAAATGTTCTTGGAGTCCGTTTTTGTTCTCTACCATAACCATGCTTGGCTCTCATATTTTTGGAGGGCATAACCTTTTCATAGGAACTGTGAATTCGTTTTTTCATGTTTATGCACAGCAGCCAGTGACTCAAAGGGCAGTCTAGATAAAGAGAGACATGATTTGATAGCAGGATTCTGACAAACAAGAGCTGAAGCCAGGTTACATTAAAATAAAATAAAATTGACTATTAACTCTGTATTCTTCTAATTTAAATCTAAGAAAATAATAATAATAAAAAATCTCTTTTCTTGTTGAACTAGAAAGGGTCTTCTATGATGGGTTATTTTTATTTCAACCTTGCTTGAGGTAAAGGGCTGCTTGATGGAAATTTTAGGAACAGCTCTGTGCATGAAGGTGCTTATGCCATGAACTGTGTTGCTAGAGAACCCACAAGCACAAAAAAAAAAAATAAAGGGATTTAGATAAAAAGTGAAAGTTGGTGAAACTTTTATGGAAGTTAGCTTATCAAAGACAAAGGATTGAAGCAGAAAAAAATGGCAGACTTTTTCCTATAGTTGTCATAGCTTTTATTGTTTACGTTTGTGCATTTTAACTCAATCAGCCAAAACATTTCAAAAATCATTTTGCAGCTGAGCTCACTAAACTCCTGGAGCTTTAAATGATACTATTAATCTTGATCTTGTTTTTACTTCATTAGCAGGGAAAGTTGGTGGTGACTTTGACAGGTAATTCATTGTATTAACAGAATACTTGGCACTGAGGCATGCAAGCTAATAATCATGTTTCAAGTGCCCCGTTTAACTTATGGTATAAACATACATGTGCTGTTTTTGATAGCACATTAAGTGAAATTGGTTATTAGTTAACATTAATGATGCCTTAGCATAGGTAATTTACTTCTGAAGTTTGCAAATTGATTACAATTAATAGTAATTGGAAAGATTTGAAGAAGTACAACAGATGATTGAAAAGTATCATAACATAT